ATAAAATTTTAAATTAAATTATTTGACAATAAACTGACAAATAATACTTGAATAGAATACAATATATTCAAACAAAATATGAATATTTGTTGCCATAGCAAAATAATGCTAAAATTTTCTTTTTTACAATTAAATAGTCAATTTTACTTTAATTAAATAAAATCTGTTTTTAAATGTTCAGGATAAAAGATTTGAATGATCAGTGGAAAATAATTATTGAAACGCGAACGAAAAAATTAAATATAAATAAAATCAATTAAATATTATAGAATCTCTAGATTATAAGAATTAGATACATTTAGATTTCCATCACGTCTTTTAAAATAAAAATTCTGACAATAAAATTAATGTAAATTTTATTTAAATTGAATTAAGTATAAATTACTATTAAACTAAATTTTTTGCAATGTTTTATTAATAAATATTGAGAGTATAAGTCAATACCATCATCATAATTTTATTTTTAAATAAAACTCTTTTAATATGATCATAGTGTATGTTTAATTATTTTCTCATCAGATAGAAAAACGAAAAAAATGACATTTGTTTTATATCTGGATTGCCAATATCGTTTATAAATTTTCATGTATAGTTCGTTCATACACTCGAAGAGTATCCACTCGTTTGTGTAAAGTTTGTAACAAGTGGTTTAAACTCTTTGAACTGCATTGTGAACCATCCATTGATGTCTACGCTACTTTTACTTTCCTCCGCTTATTTGCGGGAAATCTAAACAATCGAACGTCTGTAGATTTACTTTTACAATTTGGTGCCACACAATAACCCATTGTTTAAAGGTTTGAGTATTTATATACGTAATAATAGTAGACTCACGCGGAAACGATGTGTGGAGTGTAGTCCATCGATAAGTCCCAAAATGGCCGCTGCCGCATAGAATCACGGGAGCGTGTCCTGACCTTCTTATATAGACCTTGCATCCAAAAAGCCAGATTCGCGCATACGCTTTACAGAACACCAACCTCACCCGGTTTAGCCGGTGGAAGTCTAGGACCTCGGGTGGATCTACGAGTTATACTGCATCCAATTCTATCCAGGACCGGTTCTGGGCTGTTAGCCGTCCGCCCGCTAGATATTTGGCCGCCCTCGTCCGATTACGCGAATCTCGAGTAGATTTATAACTTAACCCAACCGATAAGAATTTACTGATATTTTTTATGATAGTTCTGTATAGTTGACAGGAGTTTTAAAAAAAATCCATTAAAACATTTGATATTTTTATTCCGTTCTCCGATTTTATATTACTCACGGATTTCAATGTTAAACCAGTGATATTACGATTTCGTATGTTCCATCTTTAAGGGGATGTAGAAAAAAACGTGCACAAGTCTTGTACTATGTTAAAAAATTGACTGTTACTTTGACAGCATCATTTACAACTAAATTTAATGAATGAGAGAGATGCACGAGGTACAGAAAAAGCTCTAGAATTTATTTTCCTTACATTTACGATTTATATATTCGTTTGTCAAAAAAATTTGTACTTTTCACTTTTTTCCCGAGACTACTAATATTCGAGTACAAAGTAACCGGTTTCGACTTATTTCTACTTAAGTAGTAGTTAAATAATTAAGCGATTAGGGAATTGGGGACATAACAAAACCCTGATGAAAGAGCCGAAATTTTACTTAAGGAAAAGCTTAACCGAACCATCTCTAGCCGATTACAGTGGAGGCTGATTTCTTCGTATTATTAAAGACAGAATTTTTCCAGTTCAATGAGAGTGACCGAAAAGATGTAAATTTTGGAAATTTCAGAGGACACTTAGTCCTAAAACGAATTAGTTAGAAAACAAATGACTTTAAGTTTAACATATTTAGATTTTTACAGCTATGGTGAGAAACGTTTAAAATCTACAACAGTCCTGTCGCGTCCATTGAGATATACTAGTGATGTGACAAAAGAGATATTTGACATTGGCCGGTATCGGCACCCTGGGGATTTGGCAGTCCGCGTGTATGCACGCTCTGCAACCGTCTTCAATTCCATCCATTAATCACTCGTAGGGAGCTATTTGACTAAGTTTTTTTTTTAAGATTTAAAAAGTAAAGAATATTTTATATTTTTGTACGTTTCTTTACAAAGCTATATTTAATTATAATTTTTTTAAAAGTATATTCATACAATTGAAGAATATTTCGTACCAGGTATGTACCAATACATCCACCACACATTTTATTTCACGGAGTAAGTTTTTATTATTTTATTTTTAATCGTAGCCTTTATATCGTGGCTAGCGATTCGGAATATAATTGTGATATTAAAAATGCATTTAGAGACGTTTACAGTTTTTACTGGCTTATTGAATAAACGATACGAATGGACCGTAGAGGGCCTAGACCATCATTGACGCGCAATTGAGTGATTGCCCCTGAATGTCGGCTTCTTACAGAAACACAACTTCCCTATCATCAAATGTTCGCAAGCCACTGCAGCGGCGTCGTTCATACCTGCAATGTAAGGAGACAAAAACCACTTCTTGAGATCTAGTATTATATCCTCCGCAAGCTCAAAAGCAGTTTGAGATAAAATTTATAAAATTAATGGGAAATATGCATCTCATTCTTTGTGCGGAAGATAATGGCACAATAATTAGTGATACATAAGGTATTGCTGATTTGTTGAGTACAACCTTTTCCAAAACATTCAGCAATATGACGTATCCGATCAATTTTCAAGCTTATAATGCCCAGATAGAATTCCTCATCACATGAATATAATGGTCATTCACCAGGAGAGAACTAACCACGGCAAAAAAATGTACTTTCTTTAAATCTATGTTTGTTTCTTGTAATTCTGGAAAAAATATAACATTATGGATGCCATAGGCAATATTGGCTTTGTCCCGCAAGAATTGACTGATAAATGCATGAGTGAAGTGTGGAAGAAGTTATGGCTGAAGGTATCCAAGAATTCAAAAGGAGAAGAGCTTATCGCAGTATTCTTAGGTTGAGCAAACTCAATCTAATCAATACAGCAGTAATAGGAGATGTAGACGAACAGGATATTGAGGAGTTACCGTAGGTTTCTGGTGAGAGTCTTATCAACGACGACCTTCAAGAACTGGCAGAACAAGGAATCCATTAGAACTGGAAAATAGTGATTCTGAAAACGAAGAACCCAAAAAATTTCTCTACAGATTTCCTTAGTAAAAGTTTGGTAACAATAACCAAAATCATTGATCAAATTGTAGCTGATGATCCAGACTTTGAAAGGAGTGCAAAAGCAAAACGAGGTGTTTTGGATGTGATCTTCCGCTACCGATATTTGCTTAAGGAAAGAAAAAAGTGAGAAATGAAACTTTACGACTTTATTGCAAAAAAATAAGAATTTCAGAAAAGTCAGGACCTTCATCACAAAAAATGAACTATTAATATAGAAAAAAATGAACTAATTAATATATTATTATACATTTCTGTGNGAAAAGTCAGGACCTTCATCACAAAAAATGAACTATTAATATAGAAAAAAATGAACTAATTAATATATTATTATACATTTATGTGTGCATATGTTTGTGTATTTAACATATATTATTATACAAATTAATATAAAAATAACTTAAAACTAAGGGAAAATTTTTTATTTTTGGTTGCGTGTTTCCCTATTCTTATTTACTCTATATTAAAATGACCTCGTTTAATGATGTTTCGTATAGCGCTTTTGTTGTCTAGGAACGCATCCTCCGTGTTATGCATGGTCTTACTGTATATACATACTCTTAAAACTTTGTATACTATAAAAGCCCCTTAACCTAAATTAAAAATCATATAACCTTGTATCTTAAAAACCTTAAAACCTAAATATAACTACAGTAATACCCCAAACTTACGTGATAGGTGGGACCGAGCGATAACTGCATAAGTCAAATTTGCGTAAGTCGGGGTATAATTTTGCAATTTGTGTAAAATCCAAGTCAGATGTATGTAAGCTAATAAATGTTCTCGTTAATCTTATCTTGTGTTTTGATTCGTTCACAGTTAAAAGAAATCACCACATAGTCTCTCAAGTATCCATAGATATAACAAACACAGCTATCGTAACTTGGCACCAACTGTAAACAAACTAAGACACACCTTCCTTTGTTTATTGGTTTAAACTCACGTCCATCAATTAAAAATCGCCTTGCATCTCATTAATCCGCAGAAAATAGTTCTTCGTTATTTATAAAATCATTAATGAAATACTAGTCACTTAGCAATGATTATAAATGTAATTATTTCATATTTGTTAAGTTGTTATTTTAATAAATATTTGCACATTCTGAACCATTAGAAATAAACTTTTCTGGTCATGCACACTATAATGTTTTGGTTTCTTTTTCCATTCATTTTTGTAATTCAACTGTGTTGTTGAATTACAAGAATGGAAAACTTGAATGTAAATACGATTAAACATCAGCAAGGAAACTTGCTGAAGAGCTCGGATAAACAAATAGCATTAAATTTGTTTTAAAGCGACGCCAGGCCACCTCGGTGCCAGTAACTTCCGTCGTCGAGTTTCTTCAACAAGAAACATGTAGGTAGACAGCAGTCCGTCTGCTCTGTATTGGGTAACCGGGACGAAGACAAGTGAGAAACCCGACTGGACGGTTCTATAATAGGCAAGGAAAGGACCAATGCCTCCATTACAAAGTCTAAACTTTTATTTATTTACAATATTGTAATGTAACAATTTGGCCCAGGCCAGTTGTATACACAGATGATTTTATACGGAATAGAAAAGTTTCGAGCCAGTAACAAATAAATTACAATTAAAAGACTAATTTTTTAATAAGTGGACCTGAAATAAAAATAAAGCGTGAGTAAGACGGAAGCAGAGAGAGTGGTTTATGGAAGAGGTTCTGCTTACCCGCCTCACCATCGGAGATTTTGCGCTTGAGGACGGTGGGTGTGGCTGGCACATCTTTTTCTTGAAAACCCGAAGAGGGTGTGGGCAGATTCTCGCCTGGAGTGGGGGCCGGTGCGTTGGAAAAATAGGGCATCTTCAAGGCCTAGAAGATGGAAGAGAAGGGTTATGTGCCAGCTTTATTGGTAATAAAGAGAGAAGAGGCAAAACTTACCTGGCTGCAGTCGCAACGTTCTAGAGGATTCAATGCCAGCATCTTACACAGCAGATGCAGAAGGTCATCGCCCGCCGCCGTGAAGATGTTATTGAGAGCGGTTCCTGGGCAAGGCTTGAACTGGACATAGTGAGGAAGTGTGGCCACGCCCTGCAAAGTCAAACGTCTCCCGTCATTTCTTGCCTAAACTATCGTGCTTTGGATCCACTGTCCAGAAAATGGACAATTAATTAATTTACGTCGTATATACTTTGCCGGCAAAGTATTGTGTGGTGCAATTCCCCAAAGAAGCAGTCTCCGTTATTCCGAGTTTATATATTAGGCCACATGTACTAGAAGAATGGGAAGTTTCTCTATCTAGGAATCCATTATTTATCTATTTATTTTATGCGGTCGACTTTCCTAAATGCCTGTCCTTTTACCGGTGTGCAAACCAGTTGTCCTCCGCCTACTTTTCTTCAGATAACCATCTGCATTTTGTATTGAACCAAGGAAAATAAGAATTCCCAGGAAAATATTTAGGATGTCAATCTGTGCCTAACATCAAATATGTTAACGTACAGTACATTTGACGCCAAGGGAAACGTCTGTAGGTGCATGGAATTAAAAGGAATCCACATAAACTATACTTTGACTATCCGTAGCGGCACTTTTACTTTCCTGACTGTTATGTATGGCATGGTAGCTTGCATAAGGGGCATCCATGCTATTAAATTTTGATGACCGTGGGTTGAGGGGATGGAGAGTTTGTTTAGTTACGGCAATGCAATGCTTGGGCCATCTGATTAGGGGAAATGTCTTCTGGGAGGTCTTTCTAAGGTTAACTGGCCCCCTATTCTGGCATTACGAATGTGGAGAAAATCTGAAAAACTCAACCTGGCAGGATGCCAACCCACAACCTAACTCCTGGTGCTGGGGAGTTAGGTTGTGGGTTGACAGCTTCACCACCAGTGGGCCAAGGATGGAGAGACAGTGTGTGGTCACCCATTGTATCTCCAGTGGGTCGGACTTAACAAAGATTTTACTTGTTAGCATTTGCAGTTTATTCTTATAAAACTCCTCTCTGCTGTCAAAATGAAGCATTCTTCCATTTTTATAATAATTAAAAATATAGAAAGTTTTTAGAACAAAATCTTGTAAGATGGCGTTGCAATTTTATTTATTATAACTAATAACATAAAAGTTATTTTTAAATAAAACCTCATAACGGCCAGAAAACTTATGCAATTCGTTGCTAATCTTTCCTAAATAGAAACTATTCACACATTCTTTACTATTAAGAGCTCCCAGAACAAATATTCGACATGACCTACTAAGATTATGCATCCGATCCATTGATTGTCATTTATGAATTAATAAAAACCAGAGTTTCTATGTTATAAATGATATTGTTTCTCGAAATGTCAGGGAAAACAGTTCGAAATATATTCTGGTGATTCTCAAGTGGTAGTGCCTCCTATTTCGTGAAATTCAGTAATTTTGTTATTTGAAATAAACCGTCTAAACGTTGCTGTAATTTGATTAAATGTGTCAAATAAATACGGATAATAATAACTAGTAGTTAGAAAACGCAATTCAAAAGCAAAAGCGAGATGTACTTACGGGCCAATCTTTCTCCGTCGGTGTACCTAGAGCTTGAAATATTTTATCTAATTGATCTAGGTCCGTATCGCCTGGTAGGAATGGTGTCTAGAAACCAAGATGTAACTATTAATTTAGTATCTTTATACTTTGCAAAAAAAATCCGAGAGCGAAATACCCTCAACAGCAGTTCAGCTAAGATGCATCCAACTGCCCATATGTCGACTCCTGTGCCGTATATTCTAGCTCCGAATAGCAATTCAGGAGCTCTGTACCACCTACAAACAAATAAAATTGATTAAACTATGTATTTAATTTGTATAATTTATAAACATTTTGACACAGTATATATTTGCAATTTCAATTTATCATAAATTTGCTTTTACAGTCAACTGGTGTCAATACAAATTGGGGGAATAGCAGTTGGTTCACTTTGTTGAAAATTCGTATTAATGATTTTCGGGATCAAGATCGAGGTCATATAATTTTTGTTAAGAATTAATAGTCAATCGAAATCTCTAAATTAGATTTTGAATTAATTTACTAAACAGATAAAAAAATAAAATAAAATTTATTTACAAAAATAAATGAATGATGTAAATCAGTGGTAGTCAACCTGGTTCCTACCGCCCACTAATGGGTGATTCGAGCTTTTGTCTGAAGCCGTTTACTTTCCATTATCACCGCGAATCTATGACTTACTGATGGAGTAGGTTGTACTGCACTCTAGTGCAGTACAACCTACTCCATCAACCTACTCTTACATGACAAGGGAGAGAGTAACAGTGGGTACATTTGTAAAGTCAAACAAGTTAAACGAGAATGACGTCATCGTTATTCTTATTTCGTTAGACTTTTTGACTGATTTGTTTATAACAAAATGGCTGTTTCTAAAATTGAAGATATGAATGTTGCTAGTGCAGCCTTATCCAAAATATTTTTCTCAGATTGCTTCAGGTGGACAGTTATTTCTATCATTTCACCTTTTAATCCATAATTTAAACACTCAAGTAGATTTAGAAACATCGATATCGCCAGGATTACATTTAATTTATTATATATCTGGTTATGTTGGTGTGTGGTGTGATGGCGACTTTCATATCTCCTAGAGACTTTGTTCCCAAAGCTTTGCTGACTGTTCAGGTGAGGCTGCTTTTACGAGTAAATCTCCTGACCTCAATTTTTGTATTTTTTTAAGATGCCCAATGGTCGATTGAAATAATTTTTGAATCAGAAACGGAGAACGTTTAGACAGAGATGTTTGTCCAGTACTATGAGGTAAGATGGTTGGTTAAAGGAACTGACCTCCTTTGGTGGCGATGCATCAGTACTGTACATGATCCTTTTGATTTTAGTGAATCCATATTTAGAAATAATTATTCAGCTCCAAGTGACCCCACCCACCATGGGGCCCAACAAGGGGATGCTGTCACACCAGGGTTTCCCAGGAGCAATGCAGTCAAGAAGAGCACATCTTGTCTGATGTGTCCGCACGGGCTGCATCGATCAGTTGACTCTAGGCCAAGGTCAAGAATGACTCAATGACCAGCCAGTTGACTCAAATGGAGCCTGATTAGAGCCTCCTATTTATCTAAAGCAGGGGCCAAAGCAGTGTGTTTTGGGAACATTATGTTGCCCTCAACTACCAGGATCCCCCTTTCCAGCATACAGGCCTGGCACGGCACGCACGCATGACAAACACATGGGTGGGCATTCAGAACCCAGCAATGGTAAAGAATAATTACTAAACCATCTCTGGGAGGTCCCTTCACCACAGGCAGGAACCCACATCAAGGGGTTGTTTGTTCACTCCTAGGCTATGCAACCAATTGCTATGAAACTTGGCAGCTACATTAACATACTTCTAACATAAATAATATTCTACATACCATCCCAAAATATTGATCTAATTTCTATGTATCAATTGATTTCTGTCTAAATCCATTTGTTGGATTTACATATAGTGCCATCTATTGGCAAAAAAAATTTTTTGAAATAATATAAACTAAACTGTTAAATAAAAACAGGTTGAGAAACAATGTTATAAACTAATTGCATAATATACTATTAATTACATATTGTTATAATTAGATTGAATGTGTTAATTCCCTATTGTATGAAAACTACAACAAAAATCTTCAAATCTACCAGATGATTATTAATTACAATATGTTTCATAATACAGAAAAAATAATTTAATATGTTGTATAATGTTGCAACATTTATATTATCAAATATTTGTAAATGAGAACTGATGAGGTGTGTAACATCCGAAATGCATATTCTGTAATTAATAAAGACTATTTTTTACCATTTGCCTGCAAAGTTCCTGTATAATAAGTTCATAATAAAAGCAAATTTATGCTAAACCAAAATTGTAAATATGATAGAGTAATAAGCTAGAGAAATAACATTGTATATTCTTACCTAGTTACTACTTGATGAGTGTAAATTCTATTTGGTGACCCAAAAAATTTAGCTAAACCAAAATCAGCCAATTTCAAAATTCCTTTTTCATTAATCAGTAAATTATTTGGTTTCAAATCCTGAAATTTTACAAAAAACATCAGTGTAATATTGTTCATGTAATATAAAGCTACTTTATAGTAATGTGGTGAGGAGAGAAGTGAGGCAAGAACAAATGTGTAACTTTCGCACATAGACTATAAATGTGTAACTTAACAACATAGACTAGCTCAAAACTTCAAAACAGGTTAGTAGTGAGGACAAAGATATTTGATTTCTCCATTCTACAATTAATATATTTTAAAAATTATTAGTTTTAAATTATTCACAAATTTTAAAACAATGGGATCAGTAAAATTCATAAAATTTTTTTCTAATTTCCAAAAATTAATAAAATAATTTTTAGATTAAAACAAGTAAAACTACTCTTTCTTATCTGATTTTGAATGACTCATTTTAGCAGGCAAACAAATAACGAAGAAATACTAAACTTTAACTTTAATTACAAATAACTTCATGTTCATAAAATCTAAATGCATTTCACTTACAAAATAAAGCTTCATCAGTGGACACAATGAACTTTAACAATTCCTGTTACTTTTATGCCGTGTGAATTTTCCCAGCATGCATCTACATTCATCCCGGTATTCAGATTTATCACATTTGTATATGCTACAATACAAAAATGTTCTATTATTCTTCTTTTGAAACAATTTTTTACTTTATATAATATTTTAACATTATTCCTATCTATTTTACAATTAAATTTGTTACAATGTAGACACCATCGTGATTCTTGTCTTTTTAACCTAATAGCAGCTTCATGTTCTTTTAGCCATGTCTCCAACTTCCTTCCTGTTTCTCCTATGTAAAGTTTTGGTCTTGGACAAGTACATGATAGCTTGTAAACGACACCTGTGACTTCAAGTTGGTTTTTTGATATGTTCTGGTCTTATTTAACACAGAAAAATATCCAATTAAAGTTGGTTTTTTTTAATTGGATATTTTTCTGTGTTTTTTAAAGGAATGCTTTTAAACTTGACAGCTAAGCAGCCTAAAAAGAAAGGTCAGGTTGTCAATTGTTTGTTTTCTGGAACACAAGAAGTGAATAACTAGTGGTTATCAATTTTGGACAGACTACATCTTCAAATTAATTCCTTTTTGTTTCAAGCCAACTTTGGTTCTTTACTGCTGATAGTCAGTCTGAGATTTGACCATAGCCAGCTCCCTCAGGTAAAAGAAACAGCTAGCAGTCACACAGGAATGGATTGTTTCCAACCACAAGTCAAACTTTTTGTTGGCTTTGCAACACTTGCTGCATTTAAGCAGTGTCTCTTTATACTCCTCATGGGAGTGATTCATTGAACAGTAACTATAGCAGGTCTGGAAAATCCCACTTGAGCACTTGGCAATACACCCAAATTTGTAGCACCTATAGTACAAAGTAATTCCCTCCCTTAGTTTCTTGCCCAACTTACATGGACCTTGCCCTCTTAGGAGCCTTTTAAAAAAATTCAGAGAGAGTCACATAACTTTCTTGGCTGTTATGCATTATTATTTAAAAAGAAAAAACTTTTATATTATAAAAACTACTTAGTTACATATGACAAATGAACAGGCTTATTACATACCAACCTATTTAATTAACTTATCCCAAAAAAGAGTCAAGAGTCAGCACCACATGTGCAAAGCCCAATCTTTCTCCTGATAAACTGTTTCTCCTTACCAAATGGAAAGAGGTTTACATGGCACATACTGCCATGGGCTCAAACAAGACCAACTGCATTGGCCACCAGTTCTTGTACCAACATGGTACTTGAATCCAATAGTTCCAGCATTCCAGCATCCCCAGACTTCGAAGACACTGGAAACTTCACCTGCAAGTACAATAAGCAAGTTTTCCCAGAGTTCTTGCTGTCAGCAAGAGCAATGCTCAATCAAGGGCAAAGAGACTCAGGCTGGGCTGCAAATATGACAGGGATCCCTACCACATTTCAGTAGTCCTTTATCAAGCAAAGGCCCAAAAGAGACACCATCTGGTGCTTTCACTCATTGGCAGCTATCAGCTTGCATCAGATACACCCAATCAATTACACTCTATCTGATACGTCCAGATGAGATTTCCATTAGGAACCTACTTGTAGCAGCTACAGAAGTCACAGTCTAGATTGCCAAAGACTAGGAACCTGTGATGCTGTAGTGGGTTCTAATCAAAAATGGCTACCATGGTTTGGCCATACCGTCTTTCCTCTGTTCTTGATGGGAGTCTGCATACCACTATGTCTAAATACAGCTTAATTGTCATCTGTTTGTCTAAATGGGATTTGGTTCCAGTTTGGAAAGATATTTGAAACACTGACCTATAAACCTTGTTGTCTAATGCAGCCATCAGACAAGGTTTATAGGCCTAGTATCTAGACTCAAAGCCCACGATTTCTGACACCTCTGGAACCTTAGACCTAAGTTTGAAAACTGTATCAATGACTAAGTCAAGGTCAAGGTCAAGGTGGGATCTTTGGTTCCTGTAATGCACTCACCCTTCACTGCTAGACCCTTGCCATACCAAGATCAGTTCATCTCACTATTTCAGGGAGCATACACCAATAACACAGAAGCTTAATGTTAACCTGTTTGGTGTTTGGGTAGCTATGTCTTGACTTTAGTCTAGCTTATCACTTGATACCAGTATCAACTGAGCATGACATTTGCAACATAATAATAATAATAACTAATACTAATAATGAATAACAATGTACTAATAAATATTCACTATTACCAAAAAATGAATTAAGAAAAAAGTTAGTACTAAACACTAATCTGTAACAGTAATTATTCCTTTATTTCTTGCTATTTTACATAGTGTCAAATTAACATTTATCTGTACATTTAGCAGTATTTACAATAAATGCTGCTTTCTCCTTCCATAGCTGATTTGCTCACCACACCACTATAAATGTAGCATAATTAATATTAAATAAAATACAACTTACTCTATGAAGAATCCAGTTCATATGAAGAAATTCTAATCCTTGCAATGTCATCAATATATAAGCTTTAATGTTAGCAGGTGTTAGAACTATATTTGTATCTTTTATTATCACCTAAATATTAAATATTTGTTTAAAAATACTTGATTAAATTATCGTAGAATATCCTACATAAATAATGAATGGCTTGAAATGACAGATGTGGATTGTGAATACATTAGTTAGTTATTTAAATTTGTCTCTGCCACTGAATATATTGAACAGAAAGTGCATTCTGAATAATTTTGTGCAGTTATGAGAGTCTCCATCTCTTCACATGTAATATCAAATTTATGATTTTCTCAGAGTATTTTGTGCTGAAACTTGAGTGATCTGCTATACAGGTAGTCCTCGGTTTATGCTAACTCAATTTACGCCGATTCACAATTTGCCATTTTGCGGTGTAATTCCTTGATTTTCCCTATGCTAGACTGATTTTCATTTCAGTGTTGACATATTTACCGAGCCACAACATTGTACATTCGTTAAAACAAAGATTTTTATTGAATACAGTAGAGCATCGATTATCCAACTCAACTGGGGACTCGGGTTGGTCGGATAACCGAAAAGAATGGAAAAAATAATTATTAGTATAGTATGTTAATATATCGCTATTAATTAGTTAAATGTAATTAGTATATCATTAACTTACTTCGCATTGAATTTTCATCGATGTTAAGCCTAACAATTTTTTTTTAAAATAATACTCGTTGCTATTGTATCATTAAAATTATTTTATTGCTCACAAAACAAACAACCACTCATAATTAGAAAATTAAATCTCGTTTAAATACAGTACTGGCTTCCCTTTCATGGTCGAGCCAGTGTTGCCATCTAAAACACGCAAAAATTTAACAAAAATTACATTAAAGTAGCCAAGACATAGCCAAATATTGTAGCGCCACATCACTAGCAGACATTTGAAGTTTGCTGACTAGAACGGTCAGTTAACTGATGTGACGGTTAATCGGGGGTCGGATAATCGATACTCTACTGTATATTTATTTTTTCTGTTTAATATTATTGGGTATGTATAAATTTGCATTAAATGAATGCTAAAATACTAAACGTTTAGGTACCCATGAGTCAAGTTATTAAACTTGATAGTCCAATAAATGCGTCCTGATCCATAGCATCAATGAATGTATCCCGTATCAGTTCGTTCAGGAAAGCACCTTAAGACACAGTAACACTTCTGGCGATCAGAAACTATCGTTAGTGAGACAATCTACTTCTCATTGGCCAGACAATACTTTTTTTATTAGCCAGACAATATTTACTTCTTGTCAGTCAGATGATATCTATCTCTCCTTAGCCACCTTCAATTTTCCTGCTCAAACTGACCATATATATGCATTACGGCGACCGATGGTAGACCAATCAGTGTCTCCACTCGTCTGTACCTCTATGTCGGGTTAATGTATCCTTTCAACTATAGAAAGCTTGATGGATGAACTTTGAGAGTTAGACAATGATTGGGAGCAAAGTGCAAATGTAAAAAGAAGCATCATCGTATCCATTCGACCATATTCCAAAATTCTCAATGAAAGAAAATAAAAATGTAAACAATTAAAGATGGATTTTTTCCGAAAAATGTAAGAGATCTGAAACTAAAATTTTTTAATAAAAACATTTCACTTTATTTTATGATAAAATACATTTTATAAATTAAATTTATATGTATTTTGTATTATATTGTATTAATAAACAAAATTATTTGCTTATTTTTCACTTATGTATAACCTAACTCTATACCTCATTGTAAATATGGGTTCATTTTACACCAATTTGATTTGTGCCAGCTTTTGTAGGAACAGAACTGCAGCATAAACCGAGGGTTATCTGTATTATGGTTTTGGGATAATTTCTGTCCAGTTTGTGCATCTATACTCTGTCAAAGTGTCTGTATTTCAATGAATTGCTTTTGTACAATCTCATTGATGGTAATATTGGATAATCAAATTGAAAAACAGCTTGCAAGTAGATGAGGATTTCAATGACTATAAGTTGCTATCACAGAACAGCAAATTTTCATAGTAGAAAGTTACAGAAATAAGAAAACTTATTGAATATTAAAGTGACAGTTTATGTAAAAATTTCCAGATATAACTATGCCTACTAAGATTTATGCTTACAAGCATTTTAATAAGGTGACAGTCCCTGGAGTCTGTAATACAAAAAGAAACAGTTGTGATTCCATGTTACCGGAGGAAAGATTTCAATTAAGACAAGCAGGCAATGCTTGAAAACCAATCTAAAAAATTTTTTTGGAATACTTAAAAGGGAATTCAATGAACATCTAAAGATTATTGAATTATCTTATGGTTCTGTTCATATAGTATGAGGGAAAAAATGTTTGCCTTATAAAGAGATCAGTTTGAATGAAGTTATATGAAGTTTCAAATGCTATCTCACTAATTCAAGGGAAATAAATGTTCAAGATTTAATAATTTCTTGTGACATGCAACAGTAATAAGCACCGAAGCACATCCTGCTCACAAAATCACAAACTGTGACTTGTGATGTCATATTATTCACATTGCTTCTTGCTAATTCATATTTTGCATTGCAAATATTGTAATTATTATTACAATAGTAACCCATATGCAATATCTCTAACATTTCAAATATTATCATTTGTATCTTGTATTTTATAATATAATGGAATCTGCTTTTATGATTAATTTGGAATTTGCAATATTTTTAATAATAACCAGCTTATAACATTAAACAGAGGTTAAAAAATTTTCATTATTGAAGTCAATTTATTACAAACAATTACATTATAAATGTATACAACTCATTTTATCATAAACTGTACACTTAATACAACATTACACATTTACATAGGCCTTTGCCATGTTTCTTATAAGCAACTGTTTTTTAACTCAGCAGATCTCAATATTAAACAAAGAAAATTGCAACACGAATTTTCATCCCAATAACCTAATGTATTAATAATTGACCAACCAAAAATAATTGAGCAGAAATTATCCTACAAATATTTTTAGAAATTACATAAGAATTATAGGTAGATGTTAGGCACCATCTCTTAACTAAAGAAAATAGTTTTATTTTATATTTTTTTTATTTTGAAATTTTTGAATAGTTTGGAAGAAAAGAATTGGCCCAGAGTGGGAGTCGAACCCACAGCCTCTGCTTACCATGCACTGAACCAACCAGTTATGCCACCCAAACCTCTGAGCAACTCCTCCCTTCCAGATACATTTAAACTTTAGTTAAGAGATAGTGCCTAACATCTACCTCTAGTTGTTCTTATCAGGCAATTTCTAAAAATAATATTTTAGGATAATTTCTGCCAAATTATTTCAGCTGTTGATTGATTGATTAATGTTCATCCCCAAAGTTACACTTCAAGATCTACAGTACACATTTTCTAAGAATTCTTGTCATATCCTTACAGCTTAGTATATAAAAGATAAAAGGTATGATTTGTTTAAAAATAATATTTAATGTATGAATTTTCTAAGAATTCTTATCTCATGTCTTCAAGTGTAATTACCACAAATGATATCAATAGCCAAAGTTTGATTATAATAGGCAGATTAGCTTTAACTAATTTTATATAAGGTGTTTTGGGACTGACTGATTACAATAACATTATCTGTGATTATAACAAAAGTATTCCACTGTATAAATGATTTTCAAAACATTTCTTCAATTATTATTAACAAGTTTTATTTACTTTTACATACCTCTAAATCTGTATCCATAAAATCAAACACCAGAGAGACATTTGACTTATGTCCAAATACATCGAGCAGCTAAATAACAGATTGTTAGAGAACATTATTTTAATCAAGCAATTTAATAATAAAAAGACTCTTACACCAATTATATTGGGATGAGAAATTTCCTGTAACAACTTGATCTCTCTAAGAGCAGTCCTGTTTATTCCATCCTTAGCTTCTGCCCTAGACCCAAGTTTAATCTGAAAATTTAATTTATAGATTATAAGTGATATCAATTTTTTTTATATATTTCTTTATTTATGCTTTTGTTAGTGTATTTTATAACATAATAATCAGCAAAATAAAATAAAATTACCTTTTTAACGGCAACAATTCGGCCCGTTTTAACATCTTTTGCCTTATACACTGTAGCAAACTGCAAAAAACAAATGTTTTTTTAATTAAAAAATTGCATTTATTTATTATATTGTGACAATAAGAGTTGTGTGTATAAATTAAATTTTATATACAAATTATTTACTTGTTACACTGTTTTCATTTACAATTATAATGTAGTTATAATGTACGCAGCTCTCAGATACTAACAATGAGCTAGAACAACTGAAACATATTGCATCCAAGCATGGGTACAGCCACTCATTTATCAAGAATATAACGTCCACATATCAATCCAGGTCAATCAACAACAAGGAAACCCACCGTGTTCCGCCTTTTATCTAACACGAAGGAATATTCAGCGGATGGTCAATGTTTACCTAGGTAGTCCAAGATGGCCGCACTTCTGGAATCACATTCTAACCTAACCTAACCTAATCTATTCGGTTAATGTCCAGGGTCGTAGACCATCATGGCGGCTCTTCCTGTTTTAGCCTCGAAACCGGANACAAATGTGACAGTATCTTTTCTCTATTTGATTACTATCCAACAAACTCAAATTCAGAGTTTTAGTAGTATATAGATTACTTTCATTGCTCGAAAGACTGGTACGCCAAGAAAAAGTAATGAATTTGTAGATGAAATCAACTTAATTCGCTGTTTGTGTACAAATGCATTGTAAAAGGAAACAACGATGTTACGATACTTTTTTTATTTTGCCTTTTTGCCAACATTGGTTTAATTTATCAAGTTATATGGAGGCTACATCTTGCTTGCTCGAAAAAGAGTAGCCTCCATATTATAAAAGCTGTTTCAATTATTTATGTCTAACCTAACCTATTCTAATAAATTATCATAATTATTACCAATTATATTATTAGAATAGGTTAGGTTAGAACGTGCGTCCCCACTGTTTGTTTTTGTTTGCCGCGGCGCAGCAGCCGCCGCCGTTCGCTCGCGTCATCACATGACACGTCGTCTCCAAAGCGGTCCGGTTTCGAGGCTAAAACAGGAAGAGCCGCCATGATGGTCTACGACCCTGGACATTAACCGGAAAAATTTGTTAATTTATTAGAATAGGTTAGGTTAGAACGTGATTCCAGAAGTGCGGCCATCTTGGACTACCTAGGTAAACATTAACCCAGCAGATATTTTTGTTTATAGCGTTTTTGAACGAGTTTTCCCTCATATATTCTATGTGTTTTGGACATGTCTAGCATGTATGTATCTATTGTAAATAAAATTAAGAGAAAAAAAAGTTGGTGTATAGTTTATAAACAACTACCAAAATAATAATCAACATTGCATAATAACGGACTTCTAATCTTTCTCCTAAATTTGATCCGAGTTTTTGATCGGCAACCGACGATACGATAAGCACGTGTTTATCATTTGCTTTACGTCAAAGCAAAATATCATCAAATAAATATTTAGGCAATTTCTAATAAAAATACAGTCAACAATGTTAAATTATTCTTTACGAAATGATATTAACCTGCCCTTCGCCCAAATATTCGATTTTCTCATATCTTTTCAACTTGTCTTCGGCCATCTTTCTTTTAAATAAAGTGTTGCCACTCCTTTTAAAAAATTGTTTCGTTTATTTAAGAACTTGTTCATTTCATTAATTTTCTTAAATTTTATATAAAAAATATATTTTATTATTAAAATTAATAAAATTTTAAGTATTCTTTCTTTTTATTTTTTATTTTATTTTAAATAACAATAACTTTCCCACAGACTTTTTTTATTTATTTTACTCTTTCTGTCTTGCGGGTGTTTTCTGGTCGTAGTTACAAATTACCACTTTGTTCGTAATTTCTATTAGTTAAAAATAAAAATAAGTTAAAATTTTAGATTACTTATAAACGAATAGTTTTTTTCCTCATACGCAACGTCGGCCTTTTCTCCCGATCCGAAGAGTAAAATAGCACGTTTATCGTTTGTTTATCTTACCGTCGATGTTGTCCAACTCGTTATACGTTAAATACAATGGAATTAGCGAGTGTGGTTTCTTTAAAATACTGTATAGTGATAGACAAAGTTTAAACGGTACGATAAACACGAACGAACCACTCGGCATTTGTTCTCTTAATCGGTGCAACTTTAAAATTTGGTACATATTTCAATTCAGAACACAGTCTCTAAAATGACTGGTCACTTTAGCTATTTTAGAACTATTTTAAGCGTTGAGGAAAGCCTAACAAAAAGTAAAAACTTATTTTTAAGTAATAGAAATTTCGAATAAAGCATTCATAAATTGTAACTACGACCAGAAAATACCACAAATCGAATCCCGCTATTGGCCGTAGCGGCATAATTTAGAACTAATGCTCGCTCGGGAGCTAGAACGCGTGTGGCCGCCGGCCCGACAAGTTTCGCCGACCACACCGCCGTAATCGTCTGTACTGACGAATCGTACCAGAAAATTCGATTGGTATAAGAGCAGTCCTGTTTATTCCATCCTTAGCTTCTGCCCTAGACCCAAGTTTAATCTGAAAATTTAATTTATAGATTATAAGTGATATCAATTTTNCTAGAACGCGTGTGGCCGCCGGCCCGACAAGTTTCGCCGACCACACCGCCGTAATCGTCTGTACTGACGAATCGTACCAGAAAATTCGATTGGTATGTTGTAGGCTTATTGCTATGACCAGTACAAACATTTGCGTATCTCATTTCTTTTTTTTTCCTGAAATGTCGTTCTCTCGCCCATCTTAAAAATTCGCCATTTTATAATTTAGAAGTTTTTTTATAAGGAAAATTAACAATTATTTATCGGTCGAATTTCTGCATAAAAAGCGTGGATGATCTTAAAAATAGAATTAGCGAAATAAAAATAAAATCGACGTATAGAATGGCGAGTCTTGACTTATATTGATGAATCCGTCTATAACTCGGTGGCAGAGGCGGGAAGTCTTGTTGAAGAATAATAATCTCCCACAATAGATAACAGATAAGTGTAATTTTAAGAAGTTTGAAAAATTTTGTCACGTTCGAAAGACTTTAAGGCACGGGAATCGGCAGAAAAAAAGGCGAATGGGCCGTGGCCGCTCACCTTGCTCCGGATCGAATAAAAATTTCCATATTTTATAAGTACGCCCGGGGATTTTATAAGAATAATTTATAAGTGCCCAGGATGCGTAACCTTAACCTTACACTCTCGACTACGCGACGCTTTGGTGCAGTACTGTATTTTATAATCTACTCGTGGAAAACAACCCAAAAATCACTATCTCCGAGCCTTGCTTTCCTAGAGGATTTTCTGCCGATGTCGGTGCGTTAAGGTATGTAAATTAACGAAACTCATTTTATTTTGTTTGTATTCTCGTCTGGGTTTTTCTGACAAATGTGACAGTATCTTTTCTCTATTTGATTACTATCCAACAAACTCAAATTCAGAGTTTTAGTAGTATATAGATTACTTTCATTGCTCGAAAGACTGGTACGCCAAGAAAAAGTAATGAATTTGTAGATGAAATCAACTTAATTCGCTGTTTGTGTACAAATGCATTGTAAAAGGAAACAACGATGTTACGATACTTTTTTTATTTTGCCTTTTTGCCAACATTGGTTTAATTTATCAAGTTATATGGAGGCTGCTCTTTTTCGAGCAAGATGCAATGCATCTTGCTTGCTCGAAAAAGAGTAGCCTCCATATTATAAAAGCTGTTTCAATTATTTATGTCATATTACGTCAAGAAAGTATGCGTGACAGGAACAAAACAATTTTCGATTTGCTGATTAGCTTCTTAGTAATTTCCCTCGCTTAGCATGAAAAATTATAATGTTCTTCAGCTATAATTTAATGGAATCAGACAGAACAAAATTTCAGAACAATATATTTATTTTAATTAACATACTTAATTTTGCTAAATGAATTCAGTTTAAAATATATAAAATGAGAAGCTCGTTAATTTATTCTGTATCCATTTGCTTATAGCATTATCCTTAAATATCCCATTTCCCGCTCTTGTTTGAATACTGTCTCCCTTGCCACATTTTCTTCCACTTCTGTTACTCGTGCTCCATTTTCTACTGTCTCTTCGTCATTACTCCATACGGATTCATCGTCCTGTAGAATACAAATATCGTGTAAAATACAACACGAAGTTATAAGTTCTACCATTAAGTCCACGCAAAATATCCAAAAATATCAGCTCCTAAACTGAAGTAATCGACAAACAAATGCTAGTCTGTCACATAACAAAAACTAATTTTAAAATAATTTAAAGACGACTATAAAAAACCACGGTCACTGTAGATGACTATCGAATGCTTTGAAAGATGGTAGGCACCGTCTCCTACAATAGGAAAATTTGCATTTGGAATGTTATGACCGCTGCAAACTGTCATACACCTTAGATCTCTTAAGTATTGCGCAGCAGCAAACGGATCCAATTTTACCAACATAACAATAAAACATATTTTCTTAATTAATGCGCATTTCCCATAAAATTATGGAGTAAAATCCCTTTCTATTTATATATGCTCGGTATTCCCGTAAAGGAGCCTCGATGGCTATGCGCTTCCCATCGAGATGGCCAATACTGCATCATTGCTGTATTTCATAGCAGATGACAGCAGTTTTCAGCCGAAGGCCGATTTATAACATGGCTTTGCATGCTCAGAACATTTATAGCTGTAGCAATCTTCTTTGGGCACCTCCGCGTAGTCCTTCCATAAACTCCAAGTCTGTCTTCGACTCCTTTGTAATAATTACGAAAAAAGAATAGAATAGTGCATTTACGAGTTAGTAGTAAGTGTGGCGGGAAGACTATTTTATTAGTCATAAACGGTTAATTGTTTATTCCGGCTCCAGATCAGTTACTTTTGTCTGGTCACATCGTATTTCATTTAATTTAATCGATATTCTCAAATACCGCAATGTCGCTGAACAAATAAAAAATTAATTCTGAAAACTGGTAAGAATTTAAAAATACATATATTTATCGTAATTGTGAAAACTGTCGATGTAATACAAAATAAAAGGTCGACTCTGCAGTAAAGATGGTGACATTTCTTAGGTGTGGAAAAAAGGCCAGAATAGGGAGATATTTATCGTTTCTCGTAATTTGTGAATATTTTTATATTTCATTATTGTCCCAATCATTATATTTATTAATTATAAAATCTTTATTATACGACATTTCCCGAGGATCGAATTTTTACGAGGTTAAAACTATCATTTTATGGCTCACATAAGGACAAAATATGCGCTTAAATACTCTCTGGAAACAAGTTACATATCATTTATTAAATATTTAAATAAAAATTGTAATCTAATTTTGTAAATTTGGGAGTGTTTCAAATATGACGTTAAAACGGTTTTTTGTCGTTGCAAGTGGGTTTTTTTTAACATTATGTAGTATAGTAAAATCGTAGGACGGATAAAAATTTGACGTTATATTAGGATTGTCGTTACATTCGATGATGTTATAATCTGGTTAAACTGTATATTGTTTGTGCAAAATAAAAAAAATAATTTCGGACGATACAATAGCCACAATTATTTTTTTCAAAAACGAAAACTTTTCGTTACGCATCGACAAAAATTCAACCCGGGCCGACATGCAACGGAGAGAAATTTTGAAATTAGATAGGTTAATTTCATCGAAGATGCATCGTGAATGATCTCGTGGTCGTGGCCGACGATGTTTGAACGATCGCGCCCAAAAGCAGCGATATCAAAGATGGGAGAATGAGAACGAGACCTGCCTTGAGAATCAAAGTGATTCCGTCTCCGAGACATAGTCTTGTCCCAAATACGGTTTTGCCGTTTTACTTGTTTCTGTATATAGCAGTCTTTTGCAGCCTCATCTCCGCGCTTAAACAAATTGTCGGGTCTTTACTGTTTCCAACATTGCGTTGTTGATTTTGTGCTTTAATTTGTATTTTATTAATAATTGAGATGCGGTCACTCTGAGGCCCACCCACCTTTTCCATACTATGTAACTTTTATTCCTCCTCTTTAACTACTCTCTTCTAAATTTCCCTTAGCATTTTCACCTTCGACAACTTAATCCCTTACTTCACTACTTCCTTCTAAGAGGCTAAAGTCCAATTCATTAATGGACAGCCTCCTAATCTCTGTATAAACTAAAAATAAAAAATAAAATAAGAACCATGTCAAAAAATAGCTAAATCGCTTGCAATCGCCGCGGGATATGGCGCTTCTGTAAATGAATCTCATCCAAAACTATGCTTAGAAGTATTTTTTGTTTTTCACAAAATTTCAATCCAGAATAGATTATGGCTTACCCATCTGGTCAATGACTGAAATCTAGCTATTGGACAAAGTTAATGGATACGGGAAACCTACTTTGTGATAAATAAATTCAGTAATCTATCACATACAACCCTGATGTTGCTAGTCAGGCTTGGACGATCTTAAAGAACGAATCAAATATTTTGATCGTATTTTGTTTTAAATATTTTAATGGTTTTATTTATAACTTTTGCTGAAACTAAGAGAATCCGTAATGATTCATGCTTGTACACGCCTTTTTATCGTTTATCCTTGTTCTACAGATCGTACTTCTATCGAAAGGCGGAAAACTCGAAATCTGTTGAACATTTTTTACGTTACGACTTCTTACCTTATGAACGAATATGACTAAACAACTCTTAACTCAGTTTTATATTATATATACTTTTTATTTTATTATTATTTGGCATTTACTATGTATTATCTCAATTACTTAACTTTGTCCGATTTTTACTTTATTCTTATATATATCCTTGTATTCTTTATACCGTGTATTACTTTTTATTTTTGTCATTATTTGTACTGTATAAATCGCAAATCCTATTAATTACTTATACTGTTTTTGTCTTTATTTGTTATTTTATCTTAATTTGCGAGTTAACTGTTACTTGGGAGCGGAAATCTTTTGTCCAATGGCATTTCCATGTTTATGTAAACTAATTAAATACTTAAGTTAAGGAAGTTTCGGAACAGACTGCTTATGCAGAGGGTGGAGTGGTGCTAATTCAAGTTGGCCAGCCGTGGCTGCACTTCTGTGGGGAATGAATTTCTCCCAATAATTCATTACAGGAAAGATGATTGGCAATTTTAACTCATTGAAAGCTCTAAATGCAACTTTCCCGAGTCGACCGAACTGCTGCTGTGTGAAAACCACGTGGGCGAACTATGGTCCGGCACACAAAAATACTTCGACTGGAAAGGGAAGGTGCTACAGGAAAGTCTTGGTTTTTATACGTAAACTCCCTAACGGTGGGAACCGAGGCCGAACAAGATTCCTTTCCGTGGCCTTAACCTTGAATCCTGTCATAAGAGAAAGGTAGCGAGGAAGATCGGCAAGGCTTTTAAAGTACAAAAAATAAACTTTCTGCCCTGGTGACAGGCCTAAAGAATAATTGTGTACAAATAAAAATATTTTACTAATTAAATATAATCAGTTTTCCATGTTAATTTGTAAGAAACGCCGGGTGAAAATAAATTAACATAGGATACGCAGATAGACATCAGGTCCTTCCTTTTATTACCGTTTTACCTCTTCTAATAACTAGAATGGTGCCGCGTAACAAAAGTAACGCGAAAAAAGAGGATGGAATCCCTGCAGGGAAGAATGCCCCAGAAAGGGAAGGTGCCATGGTGGGGACGGTGGGTGTCCCGGATGGCCTGAAAATAATAAGGGTGATGAAATAATGGTCTTTGGATGTGGAAGAACGAAATAATGGTTTTAAATAAACTCACCGGAAATAGAACGCTGGCAATTCTTCCACAAGTAGTTCTTCAGGCAGTCTGCGGTTGGCCAACGTCAGGATCCTAAAACAAATTCCAGGAGAAATGGTTTTATTTTCCTGCCCAATTTATTTATATGCTTATTAATCGTATTTTTCACCCAAAATCTTTGGACTACCTTCTTCCCACCTCAACCAGCAACCAAAAAACAGGTATTTTCAATAATTGTTTTGTACCAGTAATAAATTTCTTCATCACCCAAATAGATAGAGTGGATTTCTCTAGACATTGTATGGTGATGAGGTAATGGCAAATGATATCATAATTGACACTAGGGTCTCAAAGGGTAGAAAAGCCTGAGATCAATAATATTAAGTATGAGGTTGTAGAGAAAGATTTTCATATATATCAAGTCCTCACAGGAGGAGGTTGTATTGGGCATGCTTGGTTTGCGGTGTCTTCCCTAACTTGGAAACAGAGAAAGGTAATGATTATGATTATATATACAGATGGTAATAAAGATAGGGCTAACTGAGGTCAAATAGGTCCTATTGCTGAGCAAAATATTTGAATGCATCATTAAGAACAGACTGTACTCTGTAATATAAGGGTGTAATAATGAGTACCACTATGATTTTAAAAAAGGGTGCTCGATGAAGGATGCATTATTGCGTCTCTGAGATGTGGTCGATAAGTCTCATAGCAAATACATTTTGGGTATATACTTTGATATAAAAAGTGCTTTTGATCAGCTATAACCTTTCAATCTAAGGAAGCTGGTAAATGGGAAATGCCCGGGTGAATTATATAGCTTACCAAGGCACTATTTATCATACAGAGGTGACGTATACCCTTTAGGTGACCAAAGGGTATATGAAAAGATAAATGGGGACTGTCCAGAGGAGTTGGTTCTCGGACCTGTGCTTTGGAATATGGTGTTTTAAACAAGAGTCAAATAGATTATGTTGCCTATGTCAAAAATTTGCTTTTAGTTATAATGCCAACAATTTGCTTTTAGTTATATCTGGAAATTCAAGGGGTAAGCTGGAGTCTCATATTGAAAAGTGGATGATGAGGTTACAAAAATGGCTTCTGTTTGTTTGTTTGTTTAGTTATGGCAACACAACACTTGGGCATCTGTCTAGGGGGATGCCTTCCGGGAGGTCTTTTTAAAGGAAACTGACTCCTATTTATGTGTTACAGACGTGGAGAAAACCCGGAAAACTCCACATGGCTATCCCGTCTGAGTGAGGCGTGAACCCATGATCAAACTCCCAGTGTTCAGGAATGAAGACCGCTTGGCCATTGGTGGGCTGAAACGGCTTGTGGGTAATAAATTAGAACTATCTGAATTAGAATTTACAATTTTTTTTATATAAATCTCATCCATACCCTTTTTACCTTTTTATAATAAAATCTCAGAAGCAATGATGCCATACACAAGTTTATTTATGATAATTAATAATACAAAAGTTATTTCTAAATAAAATCTCTTAATAGCCAGGAAAATTATGCAACTCATTGCTGGATTTTTCCCTTGACTTGTTTTCATATTAAACTGGATGCTATCAAAGAAGGAAACTTTGTGGCTTAAATATGGTTTAATTAAATTTTTAACATTAGATTGCAGTCTGTGAAATCACAAAATATAAAATGTTGAAAAAATTTCATAAAGTGTAATTTCTGAACCCAGCCTAAAAATTATAGACTCAACTGATGTATGCATCATCAGTTGAGTCTATAATTTTTATACTTAAATATGAAAAATGGAATTAATGATTAATAATATTCAAATTTCCCCAAATTTTTACCTAAGTGGATCGACTGTTTAGGGTAAAATTTTAAGTGTGTATATCCTAATGTATTTTATTGTATAGAATACATTTTAAGTGGTTTTGTAATTTATACCCTTTCTGCAAAATATAAATTGTTTCAAAACACAAATTTTAACAAAATGATGGTTAATTTACAACTATAGATAAATACAGTAATCAATAACTATAAAATACAGTAATCTATAACTATAATTTACTTAATTACAGTCTACAAATATCATCATCAGACTAATTAATGTTATGAGAAATTAATTGTGAAAATGACATTAGATTAAAATTATAACAAAGTTTATTAGCATTACAGCAGAAAATTAGTAATGAAGCTTTTGTTAATTTCTTTTAAAATATTAATTGTTATAAAGCATGTGTTAAGCAAAAAAGTGAAAATGTTAAAATAAAAAAGACAAACTTCTATGTGGAAATGAATCTTAAGCCAGTGACAAAAGTGGACAAAATAATAAATGGAGAGTGCAAGCATAAATAAAATGCATAAAAGAAAATATAAAAAAAGAGGATGGAATCCCTGCAGGGAAGAATGCCCCAGAAAGGGAAGGTGCCATGGTGGGGACGGTGGGTGTCCCGGATGGCCTGAAAATAATAAGGGTGATGAAATAATGGTCTTTGGATGTGGAAGAACGAAATAATGGTTTTAAATAAACTCACCGGAAACAGAACGCTGGCAATTCTTCCACAAGTAGTTCTTCAGGCAGTCTGCGGTTGGCCAACGTCAGGATCCTAAAACAAATTCCAGGAGAAATGGTTTTATTTTCCTGCCCAATTTATTTATATGCTTATTAATCGTATTTTTCACCCAAAATCTTTGGACTACCTTCTTCCCACCTCAACCAGCAACCAAAAAACAGGTATTTTCAATAATTGTTTTGTACCAGTAATAAATTTCTTCATCACCCAAATAGATAGAGTGGATTTCTCTAGACATTGTATGGTGATGAGGTAATGGCAAATGATATCATAATTGACACTAGGGTCTCAAAGGGTAGAAAAGCCTGAGATCAATAATATTAAGTATGAGGTTGTAGAGAAAGATTTTCATATATATCAAGTCCTCACAGGAGGAGGTTGTATTGGGCATGCTTGGTTTGCGGTGTCTTCCCTAACTTGGAAACAGAGAAAGGTAATGATTATATATACAGATGGTAATAAAGATAGGGCTAACTGAGGTCAAATAGGTCCTATTGCTGAGCAAAATATTTGAATGCATCATTAAGAACAGACTGTACTCTGTAATATAAGGGTGTAATAATGAGTACCGCTATGATTTTAAAAAAGGGTGCTCGATGAAGGATGCATTATTGCGTCTCTGAGATGTGGTCGATAAGTCTCATAGCAAATACATTTTGGGTATATACTTTGATATAAAAAGTGCTTTTGATCAGCTATAACCTTTCAATCTAAGGAAGCTGGTAAATGGGAAATGCCCGGGTGAATTATATAGCTTACCAAGGCACTATTTATCATACAGAGGCGACGTATACCCTTTAGGTGACCAAAGGGTATATGAAAAGATAAATGGGGACTGTCCAGAGGAGTTGGTTCTCGGACCTGTGCTTTGGAATATGGTGTTTTAAACAAGAGTCAAATAGATTATGTTGCCTATGTCAAAAATTTGCTTTTAGTTATAATGCCAACAATTTGCTTTTAGTTATATCTGGAAATTCAAGGGGTAAGCTGGAGTCTCATATTGAAAAGTGGATGATGAGGTTACAAAAATGGCTTCTGTTTGTTTGTTTGTTTAGTTATGGCAACACAACACTTGGGCATCTGTCTAGGGGGATGCCTTCCGGGAGGTCTTTTTAAAGGAAACTGACTCCTATTTATGTGTTACAGACGTGGAGAAAACCCGGAAAACTCCACATGGCTATCCCGTCTGAGTGAGGCGTGAACCCATGATCAAACTCCCAGTGTTCAGGAATGAAGACCGCTTGGCCACTGGTGGGCCGAAACGGCTTGTGGGTAATAAATTAGAACTATCTGAATTAGAATTTACAATTTTTTTTATATAAATCTCATCCATACCCTTTTTACCTTTTTATAATAAAATCTCAGAAGCAATGATGCCATACACAAGTTTATTTATGATAATTAATAATACAAAAGTTATTTCTAAATAAAATCTCTTAATAGCCAGGAAAATTATGCAACTCATTGCTGGATTTTTCCCTTGACTTGTTTTCATATTAAACTGGATGCTATCAAAGAAGGAAACTTTGTGGCTTAAATATGGTTTAATTAAATTTTTAACATTAGATTGCAGTCTGTGAAATCACAAAATATAAAATGTTGAAAAAATTTCATAAAGTGTAATTTCTGAACCCAGCCTAAAAATTATAGACTCAACTGATGTATGCATCATCAGTTGAGTCTATAATTTTTATACTTAAATATGAAAAATGGAATTAATGATTAATAATATTCAAATTTCCCCAAATTTTTACCTAAGTGGATCGACTGTTTAGGGTAAAATTTTAAGTGTGTATATCCTAATGTATTTTATTGTATAGAATACATTTTAAGTGGTTTTGTAATTTATACCCTTTCTGCAAAATATAAATTGTTTCAAAACACAAATTTTAACAAAATGATGGTTAATTTACAACTATAGATAAATACAGTAATCAATAACTATAAAATACAGTAATCTATAACTATAATTTACTTAATTACAGTCTACAAATATCATCATCAGACTAATTAATGTTATGAGAAATTAATTGTGAAAATGACATTAGATTAAAATTATAACAAAGTTTATTAGCATTACAGCAGAAAATTAGTAATGAAGCTTTTGTTAATTTCTTTTAAAATATTAATTGTTATAAAGCATGTGTTAAGCAAAAAAGTGAAAATGTTAAAATAAAAAAGACAAACTTCTATGTGGAAATGAATCTTAAGCCAGTGACAAAAGTGGACAAAATAATAAATGGAGAGTGCAAGCATAAATAAAATGCATAAAAGAAAATATAAATTTTCGTCTACAAGTATGTATCTTCTAATATCAGGACTTATTATACTGGCTTTACAGATAATGCTACAGAGTTTCACAGAAAACAATTTTTTATTTTATTTAATATACCTGGACACATACATAATTTTGCATTTCGGACACTTTTGTCCCTCCTTAGCAGATATTTTAGTAGTATATTCTATATAAATTAAAAACAATAAGATATATTTTAAAATTACATTTAACATTTACCGACAAACTTATCAATAAAATTCTTACAATTTTCAGACTTTTTTCTTTCATTTTTAACTGTACTGGGCATTCAATTTTAACCAACAAAAACATTATTATTGTAAACTTAAGCCTGTATTAAACAAATTATTATATTAATATTTTACATTATAACTGTTTTTAACATTTATTTACTATTTTTTACAACTTACATCTCTCTCTGTTCAATTTAACTAAGTTGTAAAAAATAGCAAATAAATGTTAAAAACAGTTATAATGTAAAATATTAATATAATAATTTGTTTAATACAGGCTTAAGTTTACAATAATATTGTTTTTGTTGGTTAAAATTGAATGCCCAGTACAGTTAAAAATGAAAGAAAAAAGTCTGAAAATTGTAAGAATTTTATTGATAAGTTTGTCGGTAAATGTTAAATGTAATTTTAAAATGTATCTTATTGTTTTTAATTTATATAGAATATACTACTAAAATATCTGCTAAGGAGGGACAAAAGTGTCCGAAATGCAAAATTATGTATGTGTCCAGGTATATTAAATAAAATAAAAAATTGTTTTCTGTGAAACTCTGTAGCATTATCTGTAAAGCCAGTATAATAAGTCCTGATATTAGAAGATATGTGCTTATAGACGAAATTTATATTTTAGTAAGTCAAGGACATTGAGGCATTTTAATTAAATGCATAAAAGAATATGAAAATAAGCAAGAAAATCATTTCCTAATGGGTTAAAAGCACAGGGAACAGAAGCAATAATGGAAGCGTGCTCTCTATCATCTACTTGACAATTCTCCTACCTCCAACTTTTGTTGTTTATCATTCTGGCTTCCTTCGCTTGCAATAAATTTATTTGGAATGTTATTTTTTGTTTCTTCTGAAAGTAAAAATGTAATTTGGAATTTATATAATAATTTAAATTATTAGTATTTCATTAATTGATTTCAATTCACATAGTTTTTAGTAATAGAAGTTTCTACATGTTGTTGTCTTAAATGTGGTGCAATAAATATTAAATGTGATCAAAAATAAAAATGTAATTTTTCCTATAACTTAATTATGTTAAGACAATTGACTTACTTTGGCACTGAATCTTCAAAATTTTAAAATTAAAAGCACCCTTCTAATATTTGAACATTTCTCTACTCAGAAAATCTCAAAAACATTATTGGAAAATTTAAAACTGATTTAATTAGCTATAGATCTAGTTTAATTTGCATAAAATACCACAAGGTTGTGACATATATCCAATTTATTGTAAAATTAACATAAATACTAAATTTCACAAAATATTTAATTTATTTATCTAATAACATAACTCTATACTGATAAAAGTTTCTTGAGAAGTTTGTAAATAATGTAAATACAGAGTAATTTAGTGTCACAAGCAAAATAAATACAGTGGAACCTCAGTATACGACCTTAATCCATTCATGATGTTTGGACTTATACCGAACAGGATATATACCGAACCAACCTTTCCCATAAGAAGTAATGTAAAAATGATTAATCCATTCTCATGTAAAAAAAAAATAAATGGCTGGCTTTAAACCCCTCACTTTCCTGGCTAGTTTCTGCTTGATTTTTCATGAGATCAGTATGTATCTTTTTAGCTTTCTCGCAAATAATTGCTTCCGATACATTGTTTTCAGCACACTGTTTTTCAGTTATCCAAAGCAAAAGCAATTTCTCAACATGATCTAATGTCTTTGATCTCTGTTTAGAAATTGATTTAATCCCTTTCGCAATGTTAGCAGATTTAATAATGTCTTTATTTTTCACGATTGTCGATATCGTTGTTCTCGGAATACGGTATGCAACAGTTAAATCTCGAACACGTGTGCCACCTTCATATTTCTCAAACAATCTCTTTTTTCAGTTCCATTGTGATTCTAGTCATTTTTTTAGTTTTCTGTTGCTTTGCATTTGCCTTTTTGCAATTCATGATTAATTAATAAAAATTATAAAATTTTACTTACAAATTAAAATCAGAAGAAATTTAACAAAGTTATAAATTGTGGCACTGTGAACATCTAGTCTGGTCTAGTACACCGATAGTGCTACTTGTTCATAGATGGCGCGTATAATTGAATTAAGTCGTATACCGAACAAAAGTCGTATACCAAGCAAAATTTATTTTGTCCAAACAGGATGTATTCCAAATTGGACGTATTCTAAAGTAGACGTATACCGAGGTACCACTGTACTCAACTATTGACAAAGAATTTAAATTATCATCAATGTGGAAATAGCACGATCTCTAAAAAATCATTAAAGATAAATTGAAATTATTTTTATTACATGTAACATATGCATTTGAAACATTGTAGAATGGAAATAAACTCCAGTCTGTCCATAGTTGATATGGACAGGGTGTAAAGGGTCAACTGACCTGTGCACTGAAAGCAGCTATTTTGTATGTGAAGGGGTTTCTGGAACATACAGGGAAAAAAAAGAGTGAAAATCAGTTTTATAGTACACATCAATGGTAATACACCCATTTCTGGAAGTGATGTTTAAGTCCAGAAAGTGTGTTCTGGAACTGCTAAATTCAGTATAACACTTTCATGCAGAAATGAATTGTACCTATGGGCAGCCATCTTTCAGGAAACTTGTGTCAGTGGAGAGAGTGTGAGTAAAGGAAAATAAAATCACACTTTCCTATCACTTTACACTAGGTATGTTGAAAATATTCTCATATTGTGGATCTAAACAAAATATTGATAAATTGCTAGAGTTATTCAATAATAACCCTTATAGCCTAATATTAAATCAGCAATTCAGCAATTTATTCCATAAGATATTATGATATAAATAAAATTCCTGAATTTTGAATAGTCCAAGCCATACTTATGGCCTGGACTATTCAAAATTAAATTCATACTGATGGCCTGGACATTCCATCTTTTAAATTTTGTCATTTTAACAATGTCATGGCAAACTGTTCCATGACATTGTTAAATTATCATGGAACAATTTAACATTCCAATTTAGAACATTAAAAGTTTGACTTCAGGTGTAGACCTGATGCAGGATTATAAAGTAAGCTGAAAACATTTGTCTGCTAAATAAAACAGTACTAGTAAAGTGTGAGGGGGTGGTGTTTGGTATTGTACTATTTGTGCTAATTAGTCATGACATGTGTCTACAACAGACTGATGTAAACAGACACTAAACAACTCTTACAACAAAGAAATTTTACTGTTGTAATAAAATTGTGCAGTCAAATCAATTTTAATAACTTAACAGGGAATTCAGTATTAAATTTTTGGAATTTATTTGACTGCAGGTGCAGAAATTCCAAACAAGAAAGCCAACTCAATGAGAATCTACTATGTTCATTAAGAGAAACTTAGATTTCAGCTTATATAGTGCATTTCACATGTACATTTTTTGTGTACATGTGAAATGCACTATATAAAGAAGTTCTGCTTAAGAGAAGTCAACTTTAATAAAGTTGCAAACGTTTTTATACAAGGCCACAAAAACAATCTGTTGTGGAGTGATGTTTGCATTAGATAAGTGTCTGCTAAGAGGTTTCATTGTATTCCAGTAGAAATGTAAAACTAGCTTCTAGAATAGTATCCACAAGGGATTAAATGCCAAAGATGAAGTATGACAGAATGACAAAATATGGAAACAGGTTGGCATAATTTGAAAAATCAAAACATTGGACTGGGAAAAATGGAAAACATTAGAGGAGACCTTCATCTAGCAGTGGATCGACATTAGATGATGATGATGATGATGATTATGATTGTATATTTCTGTATTTTGTGATTATGATAATTATGATTATATATAATCATAATCATATATATATACAAATTTTAATAAACAAGTTTTATGTCCTATATATTTAGTCCTCCAGCCAGTGATAAAACAACTCCAAAATCTCTTCTGATGTAATTCAACTAATAAAACATTCACAAAGTCACATTGTTAATTGATTAACAATGTGATTTTGTGAATGTTCCAATTGTTAACTTGGATAAGAATATTAGTACTTCCTCAAATTAATCCACTGAAAAGAAAGAAGTTAAATTTCATTTATCTACAATTTTGACAACTAGATGACCAATGCAGTTAAGATGTCAATTAAAAAAGACTCAATCAAATATGGATAATCAATCCTATGTTTCATGGAAAATCAGACCTTGGCCTTCATTACCTAGCTGACCACCATTGGGGGTCTGGCTGAATCCATAATGATTATTATTAAAATGGCCCTTTGTGTTCATGGGCTTAGATCAAAAGTAAAAAAATTATGTTTGTCATCATTTAAATATACTGATGATATAAGTAATTTGTTTAAGAAAATAAGAGAAATCAAAGAAACTTACAAAAAAATAAGTCTAATAACTTACGATCACTGTTCTTTGATGTTTCCTTATTCAATTTACTGAAAATAGAAACATTTCATATTTTAATTATTTAATCAGATTCAACAAGATTTGTACATTCTAGAATAAAATCATACTTTGAAGAGTTCATGCGTTCTTGCATGGCAGTAATTTTCTCTTTATAACCTGTATTTTCTGTTTCTAATTCTTTAATCTTAGCTTCAAATGAATAAAAAAATATCAATAATTATCTTAATATATAAAATAATTATTTTATAATAAATTATTTATTTCAATGTTGAAAATTTCATAATGTAATTATTATTTTCAGCAAACTTAAACTGGAAGTTTAATTCTGAAATGTGCAAAACATTTTCAAAATCTATACAGCATACATGATAAATTTCACTTTTGAAGTACATGATAAACAAATTTTGGTAAAGATTTATCAATTAATTATTCTGAAATACCATATTTACCAAAAAATTTGTAACAAAAAGTCAAAATTCACAGTTAATTCAAAACAAATTTGACAATGCAATCCACAAAGTTTAGTGTGCTTCCAATCACTGAGTGTTTTTTTTTTACTTTGCTAGTGATAAATTTTGCTTATCAACTAGCAATCAGCTTTGCTTAATTTAACATAATCTGTTACAATTGATAGTTACAAGAAATATTATTAAATGCTTTTGTGTTACTAATTTCATTAATATAAGGATAAAAAAAAAGGTAAATATACAACTGAAAACTTAACTGCACAACACACCGGGATGTATATAAATCATGTGACTCACACCAACCAATTAACTGGTATGAATACGAATATGGGGTCAGGATATGAGAACATAAATCTGACCTATAACATAGTAGGAATTCAATTGCACTCTCCACTTATGCGACAGACCTGGATATTATGGTGGACTTCCCTGGAGCCCGAATTATCTTTATCACCCTGCACCCAGGAACACCTCAAATGGTTGGAGGCCATTGAAATTTTTAAGGCTTGCTGCAGAACCACCTGTATTAATTTTAGGGAGGAGATGTGTCTATCGATGGCATGGCAGGCTAGACTAGACAACAATATTTAAATTTCAATCATAATTAGAGGGGAATGCATGCTCAGAAGTTCTCTGCATTCAAACTCAACCTAATGTTTGATCTTACTTAAACATTTTATGGAGAATGCATGCGGTATTCAAAATCCTTTCCATTCAATTTATATTTGAATGTTAACTGCCAGCCTACAAATTATAATTTTTTAAAATTTGTAAAAAAAAAATTTCCAAATTTTTTTGAATTCGGTTTTGTTTTAAAAAATTAAAATACATTAAAATGCTAAATGTAAAAAAATAAGATGGGACATGAAAAAAATGACATGAACATCTGAAATCAAAAAACTATGCAAGTCTTTAAAAGATATTAATGCATAACATCTATAAATAAGTCATAAAATTTAGGGATAATTATAGATTGATGATGGAATGCCAATTTGGACTATGGCAACACCTGCCCATTTGGACAAGATTGCTCATGCTATGGATAAGATTTATCTATCTCTTAATAAATTAAGCAACTTACCACCTTATATTCAAAATTCTAACATTGCTAGGATTGGGCTAGGGTGTCCATTGTTCTTTGAGTGAATTAAATATTAGGTTGTCAAGGATGAAATTTGTAGGTAATAATATTGCCAACCGTTGAGTCTGACCCATCTCAGAGTGCCTATGAATTATCGTTAATATTGTTTGTTTGCTAACACCAAACTTCAACTCATTTAGCTGAAATTGGTGAAGTAAAAAAGTTGGATAAGTGGGTTCCAAATGAACTGAATGAAAAACAGAAACAAAAGTGTTTGGAAGCTTGCTTGATGTTGCCTTTTTGTCACAAATCTGATCCATTTTTGAATCAAATTGTCACTTGTGATGAGAAATGGATCCAATATGACAATTGCAAACATTCAGCACAGTGGATGGACAAGGATGAATCACCAAAACACAAAATACTATATTCATCAAAAGAAGCTGATGGTGAGTGTTTGGTGGTCTAGCGCAGGTGTGATCCGTTACGATTTCATGAAACCTGGCTCATCGATCACAACAGAAATATATTGCAACCAACTGGATGAAATGATGCAAAAATGTAAAGAAAAACAGCCCAGATAGAAATCGATCTGTTGACCAATCTTATTGCATGATAATGCTAGACCACACACTGCACAAATGACTGTAGCAAAACTACAAAGATTGGAGTTGTAACTTCATCATCCTCCATACTTACCAGACCTAGCCCCCACTGACTACCACTTCTTCTGCAATTTAGACAACTTTTTAATAGGAAAACAATTTAATTCTGACAATGCTGTAAAACTGGCCTTCCAGGAATTCATTGACTCTCATCTGTCAAGTTTTATACCACTTGCCTGAACAACCTGCTGCTTAAATGGCAAAAGTGTATAGACAATATCGGTTCATACTTTGATAAATAAAATAATTCCTTATATTTGTAAGTTATCAACCAACTTTGCCTTTTTTTCCACAAATTTCATCCTTGACGACCCAATATTTTGATCATTTTTTAATGGTCTTTACCTGAGTTTATCTGAATGATCTTTCTTATATCATATTTCTCACAATCTAAATAATTTTGATAACCTATTATTTTAATTCTTTTGAAGACAAAAGTCCTTTCCAAAAAATAGGAACCACCATTTATTAACTTTGTGTTCCAGACATTACTCTTTTGGTGACTGACCTTTTCTTTTAGGCTACTGGCCACCAAACAGTCCTTTAAAAAAACACAAAAATATCCAGTTAAAAATATAAACGTTTTTAAAAAACAGGAACTGGCGATGTTTGAACGTCTTCTATTTTCCATCATACATTGCTGGGGTTGTTTCAGCTTTTATCTACAACAAAATAAGCACTGGTAAAATGTAGATGAGGAAAACATCACCAGTTCCTATTTTTTAAAAATGTCTATATTTTTAACTGGATATTTTTGTGTTTTTTAAAGGACTGTTTGGCGGCCAGTAGCCTAAAAGAAAAGGTCAGTCGCCAAAAGTGTAATGTCTGGAACACAAAGTTAATAAATGGTGGTTCCTATTTTTTGGAAAGGACTTTTGTCTTCAAAAGAATTAAAATAATAGGTTATCAAAATTATTTAGATTGTGAGAAATATGATATAAGAAAGATCATTCAGATAAACTCAGGTAAAGAAAGGAATAAAAACACAAGTTGAAGGCATAGATTTCTCAGAGGTATTTGCAAAGAAAGCCAATTAGAATAAATGAGACCATTAAAAATTTGTAATATAACAAATGATCAAAATATTGGGTCGTCAAGGATGAAATTTGTGGAAAAAAAGGCAAAGTTGGTTGATAACTTACAAATATAAGGAATTATTTTATTTATCAAAGTATGAACCGATATTGTCTATACACTTTTGCCATTTAAGCAGCAGGTTGTTCAGGCAAATGGTATAAAACTTGACAGATGAGAGTCAATGAATTGCTGGAAGGCCAGTTTTACAGCATTGTCAGAATTAAATTGTTTTCCTATTAAAAAGTTGTCTAAATTGCAGAAGAAGTGGTAGTCAGTGGGGGCTAGGTCTGGTAAGTATGGAGGATGATGAAGTTGCAACTCCAATCTTTGTAGTTTTGCTACAGTCATTTGTGCAGTGTGTGGTCTAGCATTATCATGCAATAAGATTGGTCAACAGATCGATTTCTATCTGGGCTGTTTTTCTTTACATTTTTGCATCATTTCATCCAGTTGGTTGCAATATATTTCTGTTGTGATCGATGAGCCAGGTTTCATGAAATCGTAACGGATCACACCTGCGCTAGACCACCAAACACTCACCATCAGCTTCTTTTGATGAATATAGTATTTTGTGTTTTGGTGATTCATCCTTGTCCATCCACTGTGCTGAATGTTTGCAATTGTCATATTGGATCCATTTCTAATCACAAGTGACAATTTGATTCAAAAATGGATCAGATTTGTGACAAAAAAGCAACATCAAGCAAGCTTCCAAACACTTTTGTTTCTGTTTTTCATTCAGTTCATTTGGAACCCACTTATCCAACTTTTTTACTTTACCAATTTGAGCTAAATGAGTTGAAGTTTGGTGTTAGCAAACAAACAATATTAACGATAATTCATAGGCACTCTGAGATGGGTCAGACTCAACGGTTGGCAATATTATTACCTACAAATTTCATCCTTGACAACCTAATATTTAATTCACTCAAAGAACAATGGACACCCTAGCCCAATCCTAGCAATGTTAGAATTTTGAATATAAGGTGGTAAGTTGCTTAATTTATTAAGAGATAGATAAATCTTATCCATAGCATGAGCAATCTTGTCCAAATGGGCAGGTGTTGCCATAGTTCAAATTGGCATTCCATAATCAATCTATAATTATCCCTAAATTTTATGACTTATTTATAGATGTTATGCATTAATATCTTTTAAAGACTTGCATAGTTTTTTGATTTCAGATGTTCATGTCATTTTTTTCATGTCCCATCTTATTTTTTTACATTTAGCATTTTAATGTATTTTATTTTTTTATACCATACCGTATTTCAAAATATTTTGGAATTTTTTTTTTTACAAATTTTAAAAAATTATAATTTGTAGGCTGGCAGTTAACATTCAAATATAAATTGAATGGAAAGGATTTTGAATACCGCATGCATTCTCCATAAAATGTTTAAGTAAGATCAAACATTAGGTTGAGTTTGAATGCAGAGAACTTCTGAGCATGCATTCCCCTCTAATTATGATTGAAATTTAAATATTGTTGTCTAGTCTAGCCTGCCATGCCATCGATAGACACATCTCCTCCCTAAAATTAATACAGGTGGTTCTGCAGCAAGCCTTAAAAATTTCAATGGCCTCCAACCATTTGAGGTGTTCCTGGGTGCAGGGTGATAAAGATAATTCGGGCTCCAGGGAAGTCCACCATAATATCCAGGTCTGTCGCATAAGTGGAGAGTGCAATTGAATTCCTACTATGTTATAGGTCAGATTTATGTTCTCATATCCTGACCCCATATTCGTATTCATACCAGTTAATTGGTTGGTGTGAGTCACATGATTTATATACATCCCGGTGTGTTGTGCAGTTAAGTTTTCAGTTGTATATTTACCTTTTTTTTTATCCTTATATTAATGAAATTAGTAACACAAAAGCATTTAATAATATTTCTT